GATCAAACTAAAATATACAACCATGCATGGGTTTTATAACAGTTCCGGCAACACTGGAGAGGAATCCTTGTATAATGAATTCTTAAGATGTCCTTCATCAATTAGAGGTTATAGCCAAATTGTTTCAGGATCCTGAATTTGAATTGGTCAATTTACTCAGAATAGCCCAATGGCTTTGTTGATGTTTCTCAAGGCTCAGCCACGCCCATATAGATAAATAAACAAACAAACAAGACAAACACAGTCAAACACACGGTCCATACACGTCTCTGTGCCCTCACACACCAAGCAAATGTCAGACTGAAGCGAAAGTGTGAAATACTTAACCTAACGCTAAATCAGTGGAAAGAAAAAATAAGACCTAAAGCGTGTAATCAAATTAATCCAACAAAACTTCCCATAACTGCCGTTCTAAACTCATGTTGCGGTGTGATCTCTCCAATTAGAAATTAGGACAACCACTTTTACTATCAATTCAACCAAATAGTTTCAGGTTGTCCCTTACCTAAACTACCTGTCTTTCTTACCTTCTTTCTTTCTTTCTTTCTTTCTTTTTTAGGAACACTACTCGCACAAGAAATCCTAAGAATTAATTCACTACTTAAGGTTAATTCATAAATAACGAAACTGCAGTTACAGGTTTGTTTGTGCATAGTATTGGTAATCAGCAGTTTTTTTCCTTATCTCCACATCTAGAAGTGTTTCTGTGCTACTCCTCCATCTATAACACAAGTTAGTATCATCCTTAAAGCATCTGAAATTAAGCTGCATTGCTAAATCAATAACGTGATTTGTGCTAAGAAATACTCCCCTATCCTCTTCCTTTTTCCAGTGGCGCTGAATGACAGATTTTAGATCAATTTAACGTTTTATCACTATTACGTTTCATTTAATTAATTTTGCTTTTTCTCTCTTATTTTTGTCTATTTATTTATTTATGTTATTTACTTATTTATCATGCCATCCTGTGATGATAATCTTAAAGACTTTTTAGCCAATTGTCGTCAAAAAGGCCAATTAAAAAAAATATTATGTTAAAGATTTCACAAGATAAAAATGTGAACATAATTTTTATCGAATGAGGGGTACAATTATTCAATATTTTTGTGACATTATTTTCTACGTTAGAACTTACAGCTGATAGAAAAATATAGGATCAGCTAGGTTTGGCTAGATCTGTTGGGAAACTCAACGGAGCTGAAACAACACTGTTGTCTCGGATGAGATGTTCCATGAATCATTTAGTCAGCTGGATGCCAAATTATTCATTTAATGTTTATTTTTATGCAATGAATGGAATGGGATGGAACGTTACTATAAACTATCCGGAAATTTGCGCATGTTTGCTCGAAGGAGAGAACTGTTGAAGCCTAAAGCGTTCTCCTAGACTTATAAATAGACACCGTTTCCTTAACTAATGAAGATAAGTGATGACGCCGATGAATGACTTTTTGAAAAGAAAATAAGGCTTTACTGTATGTCCGCTGCAGCTGAGAATCCTAAGACAATAAAGATTATATTGACGTCCAATGGTGAGTTGGGCTGAAATCTAGGTTACTAATCCTATTATTTATTTATTTATTGATATTATTATTATCTTTTTTTAGGCTAACTTTCTCAGTTAACTATGTTCTACAGTAGTTTAGTAAATTTTCCACAGTTCTGACATTTCATCAATTCAACTGGTTGTTGCCAAAAAGCCTTGTTCATTACCTGACTGCAGCAAGCACTCTTTTACTGGGTGTAACCATAGGAAACAGTCTCTTTTGAGCCTCTCTTTGTAAGTCCAGGATGACCACCGTCATTGATTAAAGTTCACATGTTAGCAAACATGCTCCCCCTTTTGTACTTTGTTTCATCAGCAGCAGGGCAAATAAGTTTCTGCCTCTTTATCCATCTTGTAGTGCTCCCCGTCTTTATGTTATGAGTCACAGCTTTTGGTGAGGGCTTCCAGGTTCTCTTTGGTGAGGGCTTCCAGGTTCTCTTTGTATAGAAGTCAGAGCCAAACATTCTTTGCAGCTGGTTGTGACAGGCCCACCCAGTAAAGTTCATGCCTCCACAATGCACAGCAAACGTTTTCCTTAAATATGTTGATTGAGTTGAAAGGACAGAACTTTCTCTTTTACAAATCAAAATCAACGAAGGTTTCTAATATTTAGTCAACTTTATTGACTCAAAGGTAAATCTAGACTATTTCCTATGCACAATTTTTCTGACTCGTCAAATCGGTTCTACACAGGTTTTAAACTTTAGGCACAATCTATCCCAAATGCAAGATCCCTCCTTTCATTTTTTATTTATCTATTTTATTTTGGGAAAATAACTACCAGTTTTTTACTCAAAACAGCCTAGTACAGTTTCTAGCCAGGTTACAGGAAATAATACTTAGTTTATCTGTTTTTTCATTATTCAGCGTCCCAAAATCCAGCCATTAACGTTAATGGTTCTTAAAGTTGAGGTAAGACAATTATTGGATTTTGTTTTATAGCAAGATTTAACAAATATTTTATTTCCTGACTGATTATTTGTTAATTTTATGGTTTTCATAAAGATGATCCTGAGAGGTTCAGAGCTGCTTTTCGCAGTACCCTGTGCTATTTTTAGACTGCGGGACTCCTGTGTGTAAAAGTGGGTGGAGTCAGGTCCCCAGGCTGAAACTCCAGTCATTCTCACTAGATCTGTCCGAGAGGAAGGATCTCCTGAATACCCTAACCAGAAGCCTTAAGGTACGTCCAAAACACCGAAAAATATCCTTTCTAAAGTCACAAATTGCTTAAAACTGCATGTTACACAGGAAAAATGTGAGAGCGAGGGAGTCCAGCTGACTCCACGGCCCATAATCAGACAAAATACTTCCTTTATAACCACGACCATACAACTTTTGTATTTTAAGGGATTTTCTTGTCCTCACACTAACGATAAATTCTTTTTCTATTGTTTCCACAGTCTCTTGAACTAAATAACCGTCTAGCAAAAACATGGACCGCACCCTGTTTCTCAAGCAGCTGCTCCCTCTATTAAAAACTGAGTCATTCAGAAGATCCAGCGAAAGCAGCTCATGCAAGAAGACACGCATCCACTCATTCACATGGCACAGACGACATTCTTTGTTTGTCACAGTCCTTTTTTTTTTTTTAAAGTAAGTCAGTTCGTCACTTATTTATTCTCTCTCTATATATATATAATATTTTAAGCACAGAATTTATTTAACACTGCACTGGTTATTTTCAGAATTTAATGCTTACTATGCTTTTAAGCAGGCCTTATGTAACATTAGAGCAAATCCAATTGCAATTTTTTTGAGAGCGCTCTGAGGAATAGTTTATATATTTATTTTCTGCAGATCTGTTTTGATTTTACTGTTTAGCAGCTATATGACTATATTTCTAAAATAAAGCTGTCATTTACATCCTTACTTGCGTTTCTTGGTGGTTTTTTCCCTTTTTTCATCTCCAGGTCACTTAACCCCCAGATCGGGGTCACTCACATGCTGCCCCACACACAAATGATTATCACGCTTCTACACTACATATGTATATATATGTATACACATATACATACATACACACATACATATGCATATGTTACTTTAAAAACCTTTTATTTATTAACTTATGGTGTTCTGTTCAAAGACTGATCAGAACAGGGTTGCAGAATTTGAATTTTGCGTAGCTCCAAACATTAATTTTAGCACTGCAGTGTAATTTACATATACGAGTTGCAACTTTTTAAAGCTCTTATTTATCTTATTTATTTATTTTCTGGTACCGCATCAGGCCTTCACACACACCATCCAGCGCTGTACACACACACACACACACGGAGCTCCCAAAACTCTGCTCTGCATTCTGCACTCTCCTAGTGCTGCACTTTCAATTCAGAGCCGTAAGCAGCCTCTTGCTGCGCCTCACACACACAGGCTGAACTCAGCTTACACACACAGGAAGCTTGTCTACAGCTGTGCCTTTTTCCTCTTGATTCTGCAGCCTTCACTTCCCAAATCTTTCTCCAGTTACCTCTACTGTTAACATCTACCCCTTTTTTCTTCATCGCCTCTTCCGCTGACTTTCTCAATAAAACCTTATTTCTCGTGGCTTCAACTGGGCTGCTTGTCATATTTAAACATTGCTCATTTTATGCAAAAACAGCCAAAAGCACGCAGAAATAGCCAAAAGCACTGCTCTCTTCACACAGAAGCAGTCAAAACATTTATCATCTTATGCAAAAACAGTTACCTCAGAACATTTTTCTCATCTCATGCAAAAGGTCCTTGACCTTAAAAATCCAGGGAGCTCTCTTTTAGCCTCCCCTTCCCTTAACACAAAAAACCAGGTCCTTGACCTTAAAATCCAGGGAGCTCTCTTTTAGCCTCCCCTTCCCTTAACACAAAAAAACCAGGTCCTTGACCTGTGGACTTTTAGGGTTCCCACACCTATGGATCCAGCCAAGCTTTATATAACCTCGTTATATATTCTATCCGCTCGTCAGCAAATAGTGTGGTCAGCCACGACCTGGAAATGGAACTTTAGGGCTACTCTATTAGCCCTGGGTCACCATCCCTTCATCTGTACTATTTCCTTTTCTCATTTACTCATTAAACCATTAGAAAAAATCCTCATTTCATTTCACCACTAAACCATTACAAAAAAATCTCTTATTCTCCTGCACTTGTCTCCACTTTCTTCTCCAACTATTATTTTAGGACCTCAGCTACTATGATTCTGGACACAAAGGCTTTGGATAAATCCAATGAGCAGATTTTAGATAATAGGCTCTGCTCACCTTGTTTTCCACCGCGGTGTTCTGTGCCAAGATCTGTTCGCTGGGTCGGTTGGTCAAATTGTCCTCCAAAAACTCCTTTTTCTTCAAAAAGAAAAAATCCTGTTCGTGACGCCAAATTTGTTGGTCTCTCTTCCTTTAGACCAAGCACGGGTACGGAGTAGATGGAGTTAAACACCTTTAAAGTTGTCAGAACGAGGAGACAAATGATCAGAAGTCCATTCACTGTTTCACCGCTCATGAGGGGGAGAGTCTCTGCAGCAAGTCCCGCGACCTGCTCTTGCCAGATGCTTCGGACAGACTCTCGCCGTTCTGCTGAAAACGGCTGATTTTTATTGAAGATTACAGGAATGTTACATACGTAGTTTGCCATACACACACGTAATTCTGCCATCTGCACCTGCAGACGCACGTCAGCTAATAGCCTTGTTAATGAAAGACCAATTCATCCCAAGGACATGCAACCTTGAGATGATCAGGACACATCCTGCAACATCCTTTGCTAACAAAGACAGTTGTTCTTGTATTGAGGAACTGAAGGAAGGAACGCTTTCACTCCCTTATGCAGCTGTTCAGCTTGAGCAGAAAAGGCACAGAGAGGTCTTTGATATTATAACAAGATTCCATGAAAAGGCATATAATAATGTATTTATGATAATATATAAGGAGCAAAAGTGAGAGATACATATTTAATCATATAAAAGAGCTTATAATAATATATGAAAGAGCTTATATGAGAGATATATATTTTCACAAGCAAGCAGTTAGCTTTTTCAGTCCGCCCATCGTCAAAAAAAAAGCACAAGAGGAAGAATTTTACTTGTTTGTTAGTATAATAGCAGAGCATGGAAGTACAAGTAAGAAAGTAATGTCTTTGGCGGCAAAGCAAAGAGATAAAACCAGTCTGAACATCAGCGTAAGCTACACTCGTTAAAGAAGGCTACAAATCACAAACTGATGGTGACCTGGTTTTGTTGCTACTGGACTTGTACATAATACAATTTTTTTTCCAACTGTTTGGATCTTATTACTTTAGAATCAGTTGGCTTGTGTTAGCATTAGCTCATTGTTAGCATAGGCAATGTTAGCGCTAGCTACAAAAGGCTGCTACAAGGTTGTTTGCAACAGTTGTAACTCCAATTTAACCAGTAGAAGAGAAAATCAGGAAATTCTAGAGTTGATTTAAAGGTGTGGAACATTTGTTTCTTTAATACATTTGAAGTGGTCTCTATTTGGAATAAATGCCGTGTAAGTCGTACTTAGGGAGGCAAAACTCAACTCAACTTCATTTGTAAATCGCATATTTGTATAGGCAAAAATATTTCACCAAGGCGCTACACTGATCAAGTAAAAACATAAAACATTAAGTCCAGAAAATAAAAACATTGTATCACAAGATACAGATAAAAAATACAGTGAGTACACAGATTGCTATAAGTAAAACAATAAAACTAGTTAGAAAGATTAAAAGACAGATCATAAAAGTAGGTTTTTAGCCTTGCCTTAGGCCCTTATGCTGAGAGGAAGCTCGTTCCAAAGCTTAGGACCTGCCACAGCAAAGGCCCTATCACCACGTGTCTTTAGGCGCGTTCTTGGGACCGAGAGGAGCATGAGGTTCTTCGAGCGGAGTGACCATGCAGGGGTGTACGGTTGAAGCAGTGACACCAAGTAAGGAGGGGCCAAACCATTTAACGTTTTAAAAACCAGTAAGAGTATTTTAAAACAAATCCTGACATCAATGGGCAGCCAATGAAGCGCAGCCAGGACAGGACTTATGTGCTCATACTTGCGCCTGCCCTCTAAAAATCTGGCAGCAGCATTCTGCACTATTTGCAACCTGGCTATTGAGCCATTGCTCACACCGAATAAAACAGAGTTGCAGTAGTCCAATCGCACCGTAATAAAAGCATGGACTACCATCTCAAGATCATAACGTGACAAAACTGGTTTGATCTTTACCAACTGATAAAGGTGGAAAAAGGAGGAGGAGATCACTCCATTGATGTGGTTATCAAAACTAAGGGCGCTATCCAGTTTAACACCAATATTAGTCACCGATGTAGTCAGCTGGCCATTAAATGACCCACAGTTAGGGAAGAGTCAGAATGTATGCTTGGAGCAAACAATATAGCCTCTGTTTTGTGATCATTTAGGCTCAGAAAATGTTCACTCATCCAGGTCTTGATCTCCCTCAAACAGTTAGTAAGAATAGAAATAGAGAGACCACTTGACGTGTTTAGAGGCAGGTACAGCTGACAATCGTCAGCATATAGGTGGAATTGAACTCCAAGCTTACGACAGATGTCACCTAAGGGCAGAATGTAAACAGAAAACAACAAAGGTCCCAATATCGAGCCCTGTGGTACCCCCCATGGTAGAACAGAGTACTCTGAGAAATAACTTCCCATCCTAAAACACATTTTCCTATGTGTCAGGTATGATCTAAACCATTCCAGGGCTAACCGTGAAATCCCGACATAATGATGTAGACGGTGAAGCAGCACTTCATGATCTGTCGTGTCAAAGGCAGCCGTGAGGTCCAGCAGAAGTAACAACACTGAATTACTGCTATCAGTCGCTAGATAAATGTCACTGAGCACTCTAACCAGTGCAGTCTCCGTGCTGTGTTGAGCTCTGTAGCCAGACTGGAAAGTCTCAAAAATGGCATTCTCATCCATAAAAACCAAGAGCTGGTGGTAAACACATTTCTCTAGTACCTTACTTAAGAATGGAAGTTTCGAAATGAGCCTTTAGTTTGCAGCCAGCGAAGCATCCAGTCCAGGCTTTTTGAGCAAAGGTTGAATAACCGCCTTTTTGAAATCGTCAGGGACTATACCAGAACTGAGACTCGTGTTAATTATGTGCAATATTAAAGGGGCGACTACTGGAAAGACTTCTTTAAAGAGGCGTGTTGGCATCACTTCATCCGGCGAGCCGCTCGACTTAGCCTTCCCAGCGATCTTGATCAAATCATCTAGACTAATTTGTTGAAATGCTACCAAACCTCTGATGGCAGTAACAGAACGGCCACATACCGGTGCCATAGACATGGTAGCCCGGAGCGCAGCAACTTTCTCTATAAAAAAGTCACGAAACTCATCACACATTTTAGCTGAAGCCTGCACCACATGATGATCATTTAATTTCAGAACTGAGTTAATTGCTGTATAAAGTGCTCTGCGGTTGTTTGAGTTTAAAGAAATGAGATTGGAATAATATGCAAATTTCGCAGATCTAACTGCCTCTTGGTATGATTTCCAACTCTCACGTACAGCAATTAGGGAAACATGCATATTATCCTTCTACCACTGTCTCTCATATCTTCTACATGTCCTTCTTGCGGCACGAGTAGCGTCCGTTGACCATAAATTCACCGTACGCTTTCCCCTCCTGGACCTTAATGGCGCAACAGTGTTAAGGATATCCTCACAGGTCTCATTAAAACAAGTAAGCAATCCATCCAGTGAGGACTTGTCTGATAAATCAAAGAAGGCTTGTTCAAACAGCAAAGTGAAATGAGTTGCAGTGTCAGAGTTCACATGACAACTCTACCTACTGGGGGCAACAGGTGCCAGCAAATTGCTATGCAGAGTAGTCTCAAATAATATTGAATTATGGTCTGAAAAAAGTGCATCCTTAATAGTCAGATTATCTACTGAACACCCCAGTAATAACACAAGATCCAGTGTGTGGCCACATTCCTGTGTGGCCCCATTAACCCACTGCGTAAAAGACAAAGAGTTCAAAAGGTTGATCAAATCAGAGACTATAAAGGTTTTCCGGGGCAGCAGATATGAATATTAAAGTCTCCCAGTAACAATATCCGCTCGTATCTAGCAGCCCAGTTTGCTAGGGACTTCTGAAAACTCCGGCAAAAAATCCTTGTTGTATTTCGGGGGTCTATATACTACAACACAGAGGATTGGTTGCGGTTGTGGATGACCAAGTTCGAATAAGTACAGTTCAAAACTGGTATTAGGAGACCAGGACTGCAAATGTTTGATCTTCAGATTAGCTTTAGAAATAACCACCAATCCACCGACACGTTTAGTGGTCCTCGGAACATTAATAAAAGCATAGTCAGCTGGGATCAGTTCACTAAAAACAGCGGACTCACCAGGAAGAATCCATGACTCTGTCACACAGACAATGTCGAGAACATGTGCTGTAAAAAATTCATTCACAATGAATGTTTTGTTAGCCACAGACCTAGCATTGACCAGGCCCCACCTTAAGGACACTTCAGAGCTGCTGATGGTGGAAGAAGCTCTAGTCAATGATCGGAGATTCCTCAGATCGGCTCATCTCCGACAATCTCTGAAAGGGTGGGGAGCGCTTACCATACTCCCATGAATTGCCAGCAACAGGAACGAGCTAGGCACCGAGGAACCGAGTGGAAGAACACAAGACTACTCACGAACCACTAGAAAAGGCAAGCTTCAATGCTTTCAGCTTGACGAGCCGTCCACCCCGACAGCCTCTCCTCCTACGTTTCCTCCTAGCAGAGTGCGTAAAAGGCGGTGTTTCCCAGCACGCCGAAAGGCCATGCAGGTAGAGGGGGGAGGAAGTATTCCGCTGCTCAACAGCTTCGGGTGGTAAAAATCTAACCGAAAAACCTATTTTAAATAGCGTATGATGATCATACACCAATCTCGGATGAGCGGGTTGTAACACATAGGCTAAAAACAATTAAAATACAAAAAGTAGAGGAGCTGACAGACGGCAAGCCGGCAACACTGGCGCCATCTTGGATAACAGTGCAAAAAACACTGGTGCACAATTTCCAGGAATTAGAAGTGAGCCACATCACAGGTGAGCCAGTTTTGGAGTCTTATTTACTGATATTTGAACATCGCCTCTGATTGGATAACAGCAACACAACTCTACCACTGAATTGCAATGCTGATATTTTATCTCCACAAATAACACAAGCCTGGAAGAGCTCTGCCATGTGTTGAAGTTGCTAATGCTAATATTTAGCATCTAGTAGCTGAGACGTCTTCTGCTGTTTCCTGGACACTAAACCAACAACAGCTTCCCCGTCGTGAGTCAAGATGGGTGAGTCCATGAATGTTAAGAGACAGTGTGATGTAGGTCTGACAGGATTTTCAAATCTTAGAGTTTCACATCTGTCTTCTGTTACAAGCTAATGCAAGAGATAGGTGTAGGAGACTATTTTCATGTTCAGCCTACATGAAAAACTCAGAGTTACTGATTATAATCAAAAATAAGATTTTAGAAATCTTTTTTCAATGTTCCACACCTTTAAGGCACAATAATTAATTCCTAATTTAAAGTGTCTAAATGTAAAGATTACACTGAGAAAACACAAGTAGCGGTGTGCCGATTCACCATTTCATTGATGTATTGCTGCGTGACACATGCTGATTCTACATCAATTTGTAAACATTCGTAAACAATTATAAATAAATGCCCCAAAACAGCCGCAAAGCGCGGCAGGAACATAAATGTTACACCTGCTGCCCGGACATTTTAAGGGACGGACAAACAAAGTGCAATGGCTTTAGCCACTGAGTGTGAAGCGTACTCTTTAGGTGGATTAAAGGAAAGTTAAAGGAAACAACACAATCAACGTGCGACAGCACCTTTCACGCTTCTGTCCCAGTTTGGATGAAAAGAAGAAGCCAGTGGTTGTTGCTCCTAAGCAGCCAACAATCCAGGAAGAAATAAATGAACGTGCCCGCAACTCCGGCCTTTTTCATAAATCTATGGCAGCACTTTGCTGCAAAGCTAAGGCAGCACCAGCGAGCCTGTGACGATAATGTGACGCGATCATGTGTTTTTCACTAAAGATTACGCGATGGCTGTATAAAGTGGGAGTGGGGGCCATCTCCACACTGTCATGGACTTCCTTTTAGCTTGAGCATAACTTGTTTTATTTGCCAATTGAAACAACGCTACTTACGTTTTCTCACAAGCCGCTCCAAAAGGTGTTTGCTGTCTCAGCTGACACTATTCACAAAAGCAAGACTGACAACCCATGTTTACTTTCATTTTCACTATTGACATGTATCCTGTAGATTTCAGGCAAAAGTATTTGGGATATATGTTCAGTCTGAGATGAAGAAGATGGTGGAGTAAGAGGTATATGGTAACTTGAATAATTTGTGCTGAATTATGTAATATGAAAGTATGAAAAATCTATGACATGAGAAAAAAACCTTAACGATGAAAAAAATGCATTAAAAATTGTGGTAATCATGATAATTATTTCATAATGAAGTCAAAGGACCCTGAATCAAAATTGAATCATGAGTTATCTAACATATCACACCCCATTCATTAAGACAAAACAATCAGTGTGTTTTGTGTGCATCAGAAAACCGAACTATTGCCCTAAATGGACTCACATCAGTTTTCCTGTAAACACGTCAGTCAGTGAAGGCGAAATGGTTAAAACAATGCTGAAGCATCCAGATGATGCGGTAGGAACCCCACTTCATCTGCATCTACACGGCCCAGTCGAGCTGATACCGGTAACTTTCGGAAGAGACGAGACCACAGAAGAAGTCTTCTGATAACGTCGCCACAAAGTAACATGTGTAACACCAAAACAGTACAGTACTAGCCAAATAAGCTGTGCTGCCCCGTTGTTGTTGTTGTAAATACCTTTGGCCATTGTGCACATCCTGTTTTTACTCCATCTGCTTCACCTCCACCTGCATTTGTTTACTATCTGTGTTGCTATATGCTAACTGAAAGAATGCAAAAAGTGCACATGTTGACACCTATGGTGACGTACATACTTCATTTGAGAGTTTGGTTTTCCAAAGTAAATGTAAGCTAGGTTACAGATCCCCAGCCTATTATGTTAGATGGACCTAGATTCATTTAGATGTGCATGTAAACACACTGAATGATTTGTGTAAATTGGAGATTTTCCTATATAAAGTATTTCTCACTTTCTGTCATCAAACTGAGCAGCACTAGTAAACCACACCTTCTCCACCTGCTCTTTCCCAAGCTCCCAAAGATCCTGGAGAATCTTGACCCCTTTCTTGCTTGAAATCATCAGGTACTCCGCGTTCTCTGGGTGCAACGCCACGGAATACCGAGCTATGACCAAACTCTGGCAGAAGCGAGACAGTACCAGCAAGTAAAGGCATTCTCTCTCAACCTCACTGAGTGGGAGGATGCTTTCAAACCCAGCCAGGACAGGCCCACCCACCTCAATGGGGTTAGGATGCTCTAACATCATGTACATTAGGGCGATAGCGAGTTCGTGGATGTAGTAGCCGCTGTTCATGTCCCCAAAGTCAAGGATGCCGGAAATCTTGTAGCCGCCATTGTCATCAGGTTGCACGAGCACATTTAAGTCATTCAAGTCGCCATGATTAATGCCTTAAAGAAAGAGAAAAGCACAAAAAAGATAAAACTGCATCCTAGACACTCTAGTTATGTGACCAGTTTTCTAGTTTGTACATAAATGCAAATAAAAACAACAAATATCTAAAGAAAGTTTAAAAATTAGATGAAATTAAAGTCAAACTCACACTTGCGGAAGCTGGAGCGTTTAGGTTGTACAAATGTCTTGTAATGATGAATGACCGACTTCACAACCTCCTGGAGGGGATCTCCATCTAAAACGTTTAAGTACGCTTCCAGGAGGACAAGATTCGACAGACTCCACATGAACTCCTCCCTCAGCAGAACGCCGAGATGACGGTGTTCCATCTGGGAGAACAGAAATGAAAAATGAAGGAATATGAACGTGTCATTGCATAGATATTTCTAAGATAATGTAAAGTGAATAAATGTTTTACTATCATACCTTCTGAAGTACCTCATCCATTCTAGCGGCCATCTTGCCTGTCTCATATAATAACTCTGGTGTTAAAGGAACCTTCGAAATGGTCACTCCTGGTAAATAAGTCAACAGCCGCACGAGGTACTTCTGACAGCCGTACCCGCAATCTGTCAAAGGTAAAAAACTCTTACTCTAATTTTCCTGAATCTTAAGCCTCGTGATGAGTCGTGAATCTTGTCTGGTCTCGCTCAAGGCCACCGTAATAATCCCACTGAGGATGTGAACCTGAGACACGCTGCTGCTGTGCAGATTTACATTTTCACCCTGAAGATGGATGCATGAGTCCATCTCCTCTACTTGTCATCTAAGCTGTTACTCTTTTTTATACCATCTAGCTCAGACAAATTGCTAATTTAAAACCAGAAACCTACAGCAGGAACTCATGAGGTGTGATACATGCGGTACCCTACAGATCTGTCAACAGTAGTCTAACAGCTGTTGGTAGATGTAAAAATAGGGATCAAGGTGTGACATAGTTTAATTATGTCTTGCCACGTGTTTTAAAGGTGATGAGGTTACAGTAACAGATTATTTATTGTATTTTGGCATCACTGCTAAAAATGCTCTTATTAATCATAGTTTTAATATTTAGCATATTTGGATGATTTAGCCTATTTTTTAAGTATAAAAAGTATTTCTAGGTTGCTTTTAAGCAGAACCCCACACTTAATTGATGTGATTTTATCTGGTTTCTTGATGCAGCTCATTGCAGACTGAGACTCAAATCCAGTGAAAATCAAAAACAAAGCTCATACCCATTTCTTCCAGACTCATCAGCTGTCCTGAGTTGTTGGGAATGGCTGTTTGAGCAGGAAGTCCATTCTGGTGGAGGAAGGTCATGGCGTACGTCTGGACCTCGATCATGCTGGGGTTCTTGCTGTCCTCTGTGTTCAGGATCTTTAGGATGAACTCGCCACCCTCAGCAGGCGCCACATAGAAGTTCTGATCATCGTAGCTGGGCAGAGGCCGAATATCTTTTGGGGTCACTGTCAGGCTGAAGAGCCTCTTCACCAACTCAGAGACCTGAGATGTGTCAAACTTGGGTTTGGCTTGCTCCACCAACATTGCTGCAACAGTTCAATTTGATAAAAAAATTATTCTGTTGAAATACATGCTTTGATACAACATGTTATAATAAAAAGCTAGTTAAAATTAACTCAAATTACATCTGCCTGTGCTTTTCTTTCTGGCGTAGGCTACTGGGTTATAGTGACGCTCCATCTAATTCTGAATAACGGGATGAAAGATAACGGGTTTCTCCGCATATAATAATGGCCCTTTACCCCGTTTCTATGCTGGTACTTCAACAATAACGTCTCATTATGAAAAATGTCCTCATAAATTAATGCATAAGCTGATAAAACTTGACAAGGCAAAGTTGCTGTAAGTTAGTTACGTGAAAACTGTCGCGGAGTAACGGCGGCCTCTATTCACAGCGCTATTAAAGTGTATTTACACGCTAGTGGAGTTAAATATTAACGGACTCCGCTAAAAACAAAAGCACGCTACGGTGCGAAGACATGCTACAGTGCACTGACCTACTTAGATGCACACAAACTTCAAACGAAACAGATTTGATTTGGAGACCTTCTGCGCGTGACGTAGCACTGGAATGAAAAAGGACCAAATCTACATCCGGTTTATTCTTTCAAAACAAAAGAAGAGAGTGACCGGAAGTACTGTTGGAAAGATTACATTTTCTTTTCTCCGAAAAGAGTGAGATTCTATAAATACATAGATAGATAGATAGATAGATAGATAGATAGATAGATAGATAGATAGATAGATAGATAGATAGATAGATAGATAGATAGATAGATAGATAGATAGATAGATAGATAGATAGATAGATAGATAGATAGATAGATAGATAGATAGATAGATAGATAGATAGATAGATAGATAGATAGATAGATAGATAGATAGATAGATAGATAGATAGATAGATAGATAGATAGATAGATAGATAGATAGATAGATAGATAGACAGATAGATAGATAGATGGATAGATAGATAGATGATAGATAGATAGATAGATAGATAGATAGATAGATAGATAGATAGATAGATAGATAGATAGATAGATAGATAGATAGATAGATAGATAGATAGATAGATAGATGATAGCACTTTTATGTGTGTGTGTGTGTGTGTGTGTGTGTGTGTGTGTGTGTGTGTGTGTGTGTGTGTGTGTGTGTGTGTGTGTGTGTGTGTGTGTGTGTGTGTGTGTGTGTGTGTGTGTGTGTGTGTGTGTGTGTGCATGTGGTTATGTGTCTAGATCTGTGTGTGTAAATAGATCTATGCATGTGTAACTCTCGATTTGTAACTTGTGTTTATATTTTCACGTGTAACTTCAGCTCATAGAAATTATTGAACACACACACACACACACACACACACACACACACACACACACACACACACAGATCAGATCAGATCAGTAGAACAAAAATCCTTTGAGACTCTTCTCACCTGACTGATTTGTGCATGCATGGTGCGTTTGAATGCTGTGTGGAAGGTGGGAAATCTAAATTTCCTTTGGATTTAGTCTGAACTTCTGTTGAATGGACAATTACGTTTTTCTGTGTATAATAGAGTATTTCAAGATCCTGTAGTTATAAAAGATAGACATACATTTAATTGTTTAATGATCTAAATGTGTTTATTTAGACATGTATGTGTTTATGAGCCATGAAAACGCATTCAAAAGGTTATAAGAAATGACCACTAGAAGTCAGAGTGTTTCATTGACTGGAAAAAGCAGGCTTCAAACAGGGAGAAGGCACGAGAAGATGTGACGCAGCGTCCTGGTGATTTTTCCTCTGACGTAAGTAAAAATTAAACCTGCAGGGTTTGCAGTCCGTTTTTAATGAGGCAGCTACTATTTTAGAAAGTCTGGGACTTTTTGTAGGTCTGGTCCGGTGATTGGACACAAACGATGAAATAGCCTGATTAAATAGGGGTCACACCAGACACTCAAAGGGCTTCAGATTTTGGTTTTTAACAAGTCTCAGATCTTCGAGTTCAGCCCTTAAATTGTTGAACAAGCTAGTCAACAAAGCTAGCTCGGTTGTGGGCTGCGAAATAGATTCAGTTGAGGAGATGTGCAAAAGGAGGATGCTAGTGAAAATTACCTGCATCTTGGAAAACCCCTCCCACCCACTGCATTCCACTGTGGAGACCATGGACAGCTCCTTCAGTGGCAGACTGAGACATCCCAGATGTAAAACAGAATGCTACCGTAGATCATTCATCCCCTCTGCAGTAAGAGTGTATAACTCCTCAGTTTAACTGGTACTGACATTATCCTGGTACACAATAACATCAATGCAATATTCAGTATCTGTTCAATACTTGTGTGACACCTGATGTGCATTAGTATGTCTGTGTCTCTTATGCTGCATAATTCTGGAACCCCAAGTTTTCTTTTTATTTGTTGTCTTTAGTGGTTGAAGGTTACAATAATTGCTTATTGTGTTTGTATGTTTACCTATAATCTTGTTATTATCTTCTTCTGCCTATTCTTCAAGTGTATGTGCTGCTGTAGCAAGTGGATTTCCCCACAGTAGGATTACTAAAGTCTATTCTATTCTATATAATGAGGGCAAGTACAAAATTGTTGCCTTAATACTTTTGTTGAGTGCATTGTTTTGCAACTTCATCATTTCCTTCAATTGAAAATAACAAGAACAATTAATGGACATGAGAGAGAGAGAGAGAGAGAGAGAGAGAGAGAGAGAGAGAGAGAGAGAGAGAGAGAGAGAGAGAGAGAGAGAGAGAGAGAGAGAGAGCTTTAGCACCAGATCTTATTTCCAAGAAGCAAGCTCAAAGCTCAAAATGGGGAAAAAAGTGGACGTGGCTTTCCATTCTCCGAGTTAAAATCAACTTGGGTCAACAAAGTCAGTAAGTAAGTAAATTTTATTTATGTAGCACTTCATCTTGATCAAAGCAAAATAAAACTAAGTCATAAAATCATAAACAGATTAACATCATGAAATCAAAATGCTCTCAAAACAAAATTAGATTAACTTCAGAAAAAATTAAGTCATTAAATTATAATTTTTCATAAACAGATGAAAGATTAAAAAGTTGTGTGGATGCTATTTTGCTAAGGCCACTTTCATTAAAAAGAAGTATGAAGTTGTTTGGCTGGAGTTCAAAGCAGCTTTCTAAGTACACTGGAGAAGCCTCGACCCTCCCTGGACCAGATAATAAAGGCTGGAAGGAGAGGGGAGGCTGTGCGAATTGGGCATGTCAGAACTGCAGAATGAGGCCAGTTTCTGTGCTATAATTGATCAATATTTATTTTTCTGTTTTTCTGCATGATTGACAGCATCTCAGAGGCTATAATGGCTCTCTATTCAGTTTTCCTTGAGGCCACTCTAAGGAATAAATGACCCATCTGGCTGCTAAATACGTCTTCAGTTGTTGTCTAGATTGTTTATAAATTTGCCAGTCTGCTTCTGGGTGTGCAGCAAACGGTCTTTTATAAGAGGGGCCTATTGGCTAAAATTGGAGGGTTGTAGGACTGATCCCGGTTCACTTGTCCTTGAGGAAGACACTTAACCTGCCTTGCCTGCTGCTGGTGGTTGGAGGGGCCAGAAGTGGCTTGGCAGCCACACCTCTGGTAGTGCGCTCCAGGGCAGCTGTGGTTACAATGTAGCTCATCATCCTCAGAGTGTAAATGTGACTGTGTGAATGGATGAGTGATGCACATCAGTGTAAAGCACTTTGAAGTCCTCTGACTCTGAAAGGTGCTATACAAGTGCGGGATATTCACATTCACTTCACACGTACATTTGTGATATTGAGTTATTGGTAGTTAATAAAGTAGATTGAGATGTTTTTAGCGCCAACTATTTGCTTTTAATTCATTAGCATTGCTGGCTCAACGTTAGCCTCTAGCCTTCTTCACCTGATATTAGAGTAAAACAAAAAAAAGCGCTCTTCTTAGGGGTACAAGAAATAACTTCTGGGTCGGTCCTGTTTGCTGGCTTCAGTTTGTAACAACTCCAGAGCTTTTGCCTGCCAGTGTCAAATTGCAAATAGCTTGCCAGTGGCACTGCAACCTCACAAACTTACTGAGTGTAAACAGTAACTACTTTCCTTACTCCTTTCTTCCACTAGACAAGAAAGCGTAGTGAAACGACGTAAAAATGTACTATGCAGTAATTAGCCGCCATGATAGTGGGCGAGTTCCTTTCCACCGGCAGCCAGTGTGACCTTTTTCATGTGTCCCAGAAGTGAAGAGACGCTATCATTAAGTTTCGAGTCTGTTTTCACGTGCCAAAACATGTCAAACTCCACCGTTTTAATCTAGCCAGACAGGAAGTCAAACACAAAATCAGTGTAAAATATCTGGAACGTTCACAATAAAAGTCACATGCAGTACATCACTTCCTGTAAAACTTCTGTAATCAATGTAAACAGAACAGGAAATAAACCCCAGCCCTTTTTGGAGACATGCAGCTGTTTTTCTTCTTGCTTTTTTATTATGTGGACTTCTGTAATCACGCGTGGTTTTGCAATTATCCTGTGATTTTGTGACCTCACGGGATGAGCTGTATGGAACACTTTCACTCCTGTTTTGCATCAGAATTGATCCCGGCTGGGAATGCTCTCGCAGGTGAAACACAGATGTTACATTACACAACATTTTCAGTGAGAGGAAGAGGTTAATATTATTAGTTTTGTATTTCACTGTATAATTCTATCGCTCCTTTAATCAGTTTGCCTTGAAACTGGAATGGAAATTCATTTACTAATTTGAAAATGATGAGCAGAAAATAAAAGCTCAACTAAATGTTTTTTTTCCCATTGTTTATACTGAAATATCCACGAAGACTCGAGCTTGAGTGTGCTCAGTGTGTTTATAGTGGAAAATGGTGTGTTTGGAATGAAATCAAGCAGTGTTTTTGGTCCTGTCTGGCTACCATTGTTGTTGTGAGCTCAAATGTATCGTGTTGTTTCCCTTGGGAGGTCAAGAGGATGGAGAGCTGTCGCAGACTTATCCATCTCTTAAGTGTGAAAAAACAATGTTAGATGTGGACTAACACATTCTAAACC